ATATCGATGGTTGCCAGTTGAACTGAGCCTCGAAATGTTCAGCCCATCGCTCAAGATGCTGTTGCTGACGATAAATCAGTGTCCTGTCGAACCCCTTAATTAGCTCGCGTATGCCTATTTTCCTCGGGTTATAATTCCTAATCAGATAGAAAGGATTATGAGCACATTTGAATGAACGAAGCGCTCTGAATCATGGTGTGAATTTCCATTGATTTCATCTATATGGACTTCTCGGGTATATAGATATGGCAGGAGTTTTATTGAATATTTACACCCGGATCTTTCGGTGCATCGAAAATTGATTCACAGGGAGTAGAGAATAAAAGTCTGATGAATATGGAGTGCTAAAGTCATTTTCAAGTCACTTTTCAAGGATCATGTGTTCTAAATGAACTCCCTCGATTTCGAACTATGAAGATGGGGTGATGATTTCACTTTGGAAGCACCAGTTACACCAATCCCAGCAGCTGTCATCAACTTAACGGGGTTTTGAAGCCAGAGTCAAGCAACCAGGCTGAATCGCACGACAACTTGATAGTGCCGCCGCCACCGGTTTTACGATTTTCTACTGGTCACGATTAACCTCTTTCAAAAAAGAACCTATATGCCTATACAAAACCGGAGGTGTCGGATGATAGGAGACGCCGCCGCTTACCTCTTGGTCCTTTTACATCCAGTTCTAATTAGTAGCCAGTCGTCTTACATCTGTAATTTTACGAATCTCTTCGCTCGCCTGACCATACTAATATATAATGAAGTTTCGCATATCATTAATGAGCAGAGATGGTTTAACTTCGTTCTTTTAAGTAAGGAAGTCAGTGAATGTATGTGATTTAACAAACCAAAGAAGCCTTGTGCTGCAGCGTTTATCTCTCTCTCTACATTTTCGATCTGAATGAATATAATAAGCTTGTAGGACATGTTTGACTTTCATTATTGCCCAGCGGGTTACGCGATTCGATTGGCAGTGGGTATACGTTTTGAGAAACATTTGCTAAACGAAAGAATTTCATCGGTCAAGAGAACCGTAGGTGTTTTTCATGAACTCTTGTCGGTTAGCGGAGGCAACGGAGTATTTTCCGATACCACTCTCTTTATCTGATAATAACTTTTGTAATATTTTTTCTCAATCCCCTCATTATTTATTCAATAAATAGTTGTGTAGTCAGGTTTTCGGTGGGGGGGGGGAGGGAGACGGCCAGTTATAGACTTTCTGGAGTAATACATTTATAAGGAAGTTCATCGGTGTTCGTGGGATTGGAACTCACGACCTCCGGCCTCTTATTACCATGGTCGCTACCACTTAACTATCGCTGTTTACCGATAATTTGATGCATTTTTACATCAACATCACACGACATGTATCAAAAACGAGAGTGCCAAATTTAATTGTAATGATCTCTCAGCAGCCCTGCGTGCGTGTGTGTATGTCTGCGTTTACTCATCTCTTACTTTTTTATTTTATTTTCATTACACTATGTGAATTACGGTAAACGGGAAAATCCCCATGGACAAATAGCATACTGTAAATAGGAGAGTAGGGGAACGTTCACGTAAGATCCAGTTTATGGGTTCTGCGTTTTAAAGGTGTGAGATTGTAAGTTGGGGGAAAACAGAAAGTGAGAGGGTGTTCCGCAGTTCGGCAGTTCGGGGAAAAAGAAGATTGCAGTAGAGTGGTACGACACCTGGGAACAGAAACCTGATAAAGATGACTAGATGCCTGTGTACGGGGTGGGTGGATAAAAGTTGCAGGAAGAGGAACTGCCGAGGCAAGTTCCGAACAACAAAAATCCAAGTAGTAGCGGTAGAACAGGGACAATGAAACGACTGCCATCGATGGGCTAGCGACTGTAGACTCGATGTTAGGGAAGAATCAGCAATTAGCCGGATTGCCTTTCGTTGAACACGATCAAGAAGGGAAAGAGAAGCCCCACCCCACACGTGACTACAGTATTCAAGAGCAGGGCGGATTTGAACTTTGTACAATAGAAGAAGATGAACTGGGGTGAAAAAACGTCTGGTGCAAAATAGAAATCCAACCTTTCGCGCAGCACTAGAAGCAAGCTTTGCTATAAAGGGGGACCGGCATAAAGAAGTTATAGGCAATCCAAGAAGGGAATCAGAGTCTGTGGAACGCAGTTGGGTGGAATCTTCAGTCTTCAGGATTGAGGGCAGAGGGCAGGGTGCCCGTGTAAGCCCCAAAAAGATAAATGAGGGGAGAATGAATGGTGTTCTAAAGAAATTGAAAGGAGAAAGGTTTCTGAGCTATGGAACGAAACGTGGCTTACAATTCTCCATACATTTCCCGCATACATCTTTGTGTCGTCAGGTTGCTGGTTTCGCAATCGGTGGACTAAGCGGTGGTGAAGCGAAAGACGATTTCTGGCGTATGGTTCACTTGTCCACTAGTGCTCTGCCAACGGATCGACCCCGCTATCTGATGGGTGTTGGATTTCCGGTCGATCTGGTTGTCTGCGTCGCTTTGGGTTGTGACATGTTTGATTGTGTTTATCCGACAAGGACCGGACGGTTCGGTCACGCTTTAGTCCCCTGGGGTCAGGTAAGTATCAAATGATGATGGAGGCTCTGGGAAAAACGTACCTGTGAGAGATAATTCTAATTACTGAGCAATTTCTGATGATTTTTCTTTTTCGTTAGTCGTTCATCTAACAGTAAAATATATGTACTGCTCAGCCGTTGAAACATCTACAACCGTTACTGAATTTGCTTGCTTTATACATGCTTCCGAGTATTAATTTATGCTCCCTCAACGATATGTTAAATATAAGCACACATCGTAAGAATCGCGCAAGCCTCTCGATGTAAGTATTGTATTATATTGAAGCTTTAGCGATTTATATACAAGCTTTCATCCTAAAATAGACCACCGTTACAATTGTTGTAAAAAATGAGGTAAACGAGTGACATAAAACCTACCAAAATATGATTTAATTAAAAAATGCATTGGAAAGCTGAGTACGCACACTTTCCTTGTCGTCAGTATCCGGGCAAGATAGGGCAGAGTTTCTTTATACCGATATACGTGACGGGAGAAGGGGTGGGATTTGCATGCACTCAAGTCAATGTGTGAACGATGGGTGCAATCAGATATGATATTGTCAGCAAACTTCAAGTACACATCAATAAGGGCATCACACATATTATCAATCAGAACAGAAAACGGAACTTGGGAGATACGGCTGATCGTTGAGAGGCCACGCCTCTGCAATTTAAGATCAGCCTTCAGTAACCCAGGGAACAGAAAAGGGGTATAGGGAGAACACATTGTTGAACAGAAGCATCCATCACTGACAAATCAGATCAGACGTAGCACGGTCTTCTTATCTGAAAAGAGAGACCTTTCAACTTGCGAACAACAGTTTAGGTATGTAAGGACCAGCAAAAGTTAATTTCAAGTGTAACACCTAAGTATTTCACATGGCTGACCTTGCTCATCAGCTTTTCATGGATCTGTACATTGTCGGGGGGGAGATGGGAAGCGGTTTAGAGTAAAAATACATTCAAGGCATTTTTCGAGATTAAGATTTAGACCAGATGAAGTGGAATGCAAAACGGAGTGGGATATATTTGTTATATTCAGTCAGTTCTGATTGGTTAGATANTAGCACCTTGAAGTACACCCGAGTTATTGAGTCATGCGGTTGACTGTCTTCTTGCCAGTTTAACTTACGGATGTCTTTGCGAAAAGTAGTCAGTGAGCCATTCAAGAAGAGAAGTGCGACAGCCAAATGAATGGAGCTTGTTGAGTAAGAGGACGGGGCACTGCGTCAAAAGCCGAAGAATAGTCAAGGAATGCACAGGTCACGTATTTGGCTTTCTCGTTAAGGGACTTACGGATAAAGTGAACTAGAGACGAACCGGCATCCGGTGTGGAGCGGTTATGTTTATATGCAACGTGATAATTATCATCGGGGGTGGTAAGGGATAACCGAAGGCGATGCAGAAGTGATCGCTCCATCAATTTCAAACCAGTGAGAGTGAGAACCATTGGACTGAAACGCTTCTTTATTGGGGCGTTTGACGTTCCTTTGGGGATGAAAGTAATTCTCACTGGGCGCCAGCAATCCGGAATGGTTCGGAGCTTGAGTGAAAGATTAGCTATGTGTGCAAAAATGTGAGACAGTGGCACAGCACTGTGTTTAAGAAGGGTAGGACTTAAGGTGTCTAGACCAGGTGCAGTCGACACCTTGAGAAAACACGTGTTTATACATCTAACTAGGGGTGATGGGATTAAACGAAGGTGGGATGTTCATAGAACTGGAGTCAATATAACTGAGATGTGTCGGGCGAAGAATGAGTAAATGCAGCTTTTAGTCTTTCAGTATCAATAGAGGGACTGGAAATCGCTTTATTGTGCCTGCAGAGTAGATTGATTCCATGCCATATTCACAGTTCGTCGTCCCAAAACGCTGACTTGCATAAAGGGCATCCAAGCGCCTTATTTCACTCCTGATCCGAAAAGATAGTCGTTGCATTTCGGCCCTCCTGCCACATTTAAATGCACGTTCCTTTTCACGGCGAGGACGTTTAAGGCATTGATATTCTGCCATGTTAAAGGACCAAAGTTATCACAGGACAGCATGTGTCGAAAAGACAGTTTAACTCTTGTGTTAGAAATATCATATTGGACAAGCAGGTTGTGTTTGAAGGAAAACAATGTGTAACTACCTTAATGAACTCTTATCAAGGAAATATTGTCTGGGGAAAGATCTGGCTGACGGAACATGATGTGTTTGGGTTGAGTTCAAAAAAACATGTCTTGAATGTGATTCAATCTTAGGTCTGACCAGGATCAGGTTGTGATCACTGGTGCCTAAGGGGGAGAAATGTTTGGTATGAAACGTGTCAGTGTGACTTGTGATTATGCGATCTAGATGATAGGTTCCTTTTGTTGGTTCAATAATTGTATTGTATATAACTTTTTCAAGCACTGGGGTTCACATTTCAGTTAAAAAATCATACAAGCCAACCGTCACAATCAGTGTGCATAATGAACTAAGAGAAAATGTTTACAGAAATGGGGACATTTCATAATTCAAGGTTAAGACAAAGTGCACTTATTGTCCGCTGTTTTTCATGAGTAAACGAGCAAAATACGGTACAGGTGAACTGCCGTAAGCGTTAATTCGAGATGAAGTTTGGCGGAATTAGGAACGTGTTGAATGATGGGAACAACAACTAACAACAATAATCAGGTTACTGAGGTTAAGACAATAGAGGGTGCAGGGACGTGGTTAAAATCACTAGTTGTTAGATGCAAGCTGTCAGCGAGATGGAATTATAATCTGTAGGAAATGATCATAAAATGTATCAATTACTGATAACGTACAATGAGGTGCAATGTATAAATTAATGATGGCGATAAAAGAAAAGCGGAGGAATTTGGGGTGACAAACGGCAGTCAATCAATCCGCGCCGTTTTGTGAATACCTAAAAAGTAATCCATCATTACAGTTGTGGAACAATTACTTGGCGCATGGTTACATTACGGCAGGGGCTGCTGGCGAATAATATTTTATACATCCAGTTCCCTTTAGGAATTTCATAAGAGCAAGAACAAGTATCGTCACAGGACAGATTGAATTCAACTGTGTACAAACATCTATGTGAAAGTTCTTTCAGGACAATGATGAATCTTTAAACATCAAAAACACGCGACTAGACAAAATCAGTGCGAAGGTCCAAGGTCACCAGGCGCAGTCCGGTTGAACAGAGGGATAGGGTGGGAGAACATGTTTATCGATCGGAATCAAGGTGACAGCCCTACCATGGGAAAGTTAGACTGACCTAACATTAGACGGATGAAGAAGTGCAGCTTTTAAGGCTATTTACGTCAACATCACTGTTCACGTTTTTCCTTTTTTGTCTGCAAAGAAGACGAATTCCTTGTTTTTCGTTTGCAGTGTTTGGGAAGCGAACGTCTGGTTTACACATGTTATCTCAGCCTTAATTAGGTTAGATTTTTTTGCTACACACTTTTTAGTGTGATGAAGAGCAGACGATGTAGACCCCGTGGTCACGAGGACCCGCTGTTCAGTGATAGGAACCGGCCACCTAATTCCCGGGACTTGAAGTGGGTAACAACATAAGTTAGTTGTGGTATTGAACCGGGNACCGGGTAACAACAAAGCTGCGTACCACCAATGTTTGGCGATGGTGGCGGGGCTTGAACCTCGAACCATAGGATCTAAAGCACTTCTGTGACGGCGACTAAACCACTTCACATAGTGCCATCCAGCACGCTTGAGCTTCTTGATCCAAGCATGATTGCCAGATTCTCTGAGCATATTATTTGTGTGAAGCACACAATTAAAAGATTTCAATCTGTTTATCTTAACGAGAGTAGGTATGGGTCCGGAACATGTTTGACATCGAGATAATAAAATTTAGCAAGACGACAAGCACATAAAACGTAGCGCAGCCAATCGGAGGTTGCGCAATTAACCTTGACCCGGCGTGTATCGGTCTTTTCCACAAATTATATCTGTTGACTTCAGTAAATTCTATCCGTAAAAGGATTGCTGCACTATGATTTGTTTGGCACGGTTTGGATTCAGACGTGTGTGAAATGCTATCGATATATCCAAAGCACCAACTCCTTGAAAGGGTCCTCACAAAATAACTCAACACTGTATTGTATACTTTTCGAATGAGATGACCGAGAACTCAACTAATTAGGTCACAGAAATTGGTTGCTGACCATGATTTCGGAAGTTGATGTATGGTAGTCCTGCAAAACTCCCTTTGACCGCTTAGTTATTGCGGTTCGAGGCTGGCAGCACCAATCTTGCAACATCTTGTGTCTTCTATTCCGGAATGAAACTGGTCTACGGAGGACCCCGGTTTCTCGTTGTTGTTTTAACTCGGCAGTGTTTGCTATTTGTGCATGCCAAGCTGAACTTGAAACTCGAACGATAAAATGGAATAGACTAGTCTAAAATGAAACATTCGAAATGGAATCATAGGAAAAGATTGAATACCTGCATCTAACTCCTGCTGTTTTGCTTCTCCGAACCTATATCTATCCCGCACCCCCGCATAGCTAAACCTACGTCAAGCCCGATATAAATCCGATTTCCGTCCGATAGACGAGGACTGTTCCTGCCCGGCCTGCACACGACCCCTGTCACGTGCGTTCATTCATGCGTCCTTGTCTGGACACCAGGTTTGCGCATCCGCCCTCATCAGCGTACATAACCTCGCTTACATGCTCGGTTTGATGCGAAGTGTTCGCGAGGCGATTTCGGCTCACAAATTCCCACAATTCGTGCGTGACTTTTTCCAGCGACGTTGCTATCAACCACCAGGTGCTGGTGGTGATCCGGACCAGTCTCGTATCGAATATGAGGATACACGTCCTCCGTCGTGGGCTGTGGACGCATTGGCCAGAGTAGGGATTGATATTTCAGATTTGGGTTATCCGGATGATCGGGAGTCCACTCCATCCAACAGAACAGAAGAAGAAATGAAATTGAAGCGTTCGAAAGTCGACTAATCACTGTGTACATCCTGTGTATTGGAATAAATTAATATTTTTGCATATTTTCTGTATTCTTCGGTTTCTATCCTTAACAAACTGTACGTTGAGATCTGTTTCCTGTTTCTTCCTGGTGCTTTTTCTCACGACTTTCATCGTGTATCAGACATGAGGAACTTGAAATGAGAGCTGGAAAACATTGTACATTTGTTTGGACCTAATTGAGTTCTTCTAGCAGTGCGAATCCATCGACCATCCTAGGGATCGCGAACTTGACCTTTACAAGAAAAACGTAAACCTAGTGCCCGTTCAACCACCAGGTAGTTGATCAAACTTTGTCTCGACATGATACTGCATAACGCATCTTCGGAATCCTGTTACGAGCACCCCAGTTCACTTGTATCAGCTCCAATATTCCACGGTCATAGTGGAAAATTTTCGCACCTGTTGTGGTTCTACGTGAGTCAATCCACGAAGAGTTCGTGATAAGATTGAAAAATCATCTTGTATTGTATTGTAATGACTGATACAGGCAACTATGCCTACATTTCAGTCACACGTTTTTCACCATTACAACTGGATAAAAAATGGAATATACATCAGTGATGAAGCTTTCCAGGTTTAAAATTGTTTTGTTTCGGAGCTTCATCTTGTCAATTGGAATACAAGTCAGATAGGGTACTGTTGAAATGCAATAAGTGTTTATGCGGGAGGGTAAGCGGCGATAATTGGACCGGGGTACTGCTTGGGCATTGAGCTCGAGATTGGGCGGATGATTGGGGTCGTTTAGTATCTTATGGAAGAAATTCTCGCGTGAATTAATATGAAAATCACAATTTTGTGATTAGAATGTATAAGGGAAACACGGCTGGTAATTACCAAACCGCAACTAAGAGTAATGAAATCTTTTTTAATTAGTCAAGGGAAATAACGGGCAATCAGTAAACTAGAAAAATATATTGATTAACAAAAGAACATACAGTTGTATGCTTCAATCTGAATTGTCGTAACTTACGTATCCGGAAAGATAAGCGTTGCAGTCTGCCAACTTGGGCTAGCGCATGAGCGCTCTCTATGTTAACTCCTAGTTATTTGGTGGCATGTGTTTTAGCGATGGGTGATTGAGGGTTACAGCGGATAGTCAGATTGGGGAAGAATACAAACGTTTTTGAAGCATTTAGAAGGATTCAAATAGAGACCGGATGGGTTCGAGAATAAATGCACTAGTGCTAAACTGTCAGAAAATAATTCCATGTTAGATTGGTTTTAGGGTCGTTTGTTATAAGACCACATTGTCAGCATATTTTAAAGTCCCTGCTGGCGGGACAGAGGGTAGGTTGCAGCCAAATGTTAAACATACCCATTGAATAATTTCTCATACTCCTTAATAACTTATCCAATCACAATTCCATGTGCAACAGAACGATACTTGATGTGGAAGACATCAGGGCAACTTCTATATGTTTGAAATCCATTGTTTTTACTGATAATGGAGCTTTGTGCCAACAAACCGAGTAACACCGCGTTCTCCAACCTCATCCAACTTTTTTATTGGAAAACTTTGAAGAGGGTATACTAAGATCTAGGCCAAAGCCATCATGTATCTGGTGGAGATACGTGGATGATACCTTTGTAATAATCAAAAAGGACTTTTTGGAACGTTTCACACGATTCGGATACCATTTCCACAAAAAGGTTAACTTTATAATGGGAAAGCAAGACAAAAGCAATAACTTCTTGGCCTGTCAAGTGACTCTCGTTGATTTAGATAACTTATCAATATCCGCATATGGAAAGCCAACATACAGTAGCAGATATTTGTCCTACTCCTCTCACCACCCCATAAATATGAAGGTTGGTGTTGTAACCAACTTCCAAATCAGAGAAAACAAGTTTGTTTCAAACAAGGAGGACAAATGCAAAAAGGTTCAGCTGGTCACAACAGAGTTGATTTGATCAATAATGGATATTCGCCAAGTTTTCTACAGAAAATTAGCAGAAATTTTCAAAAATCTATAGAACCTGAAGTCAAAAATAAATCGAAAGACATCCAACGGATATCGAACTGTTTCAATGTACGGATCGCTTTTCGGGCAATCCACACCCTTCGTTCAGTCTTGATGTAACTTAAGGTCAAACAACCAAAAGCTGATCAGTGGAATCTTATTGACAAGATAAGATATAAACACCCAAGTACATTATCTAAACAAGTAGACAAATCAAGAAGCGAGTGGCCGAACATGACAGAAAATCCAATAACTCTCCAAGAAATACCTCGGAGTTTAGGGCCCTTGAGAGGGACTCAGCTATCGATGTGTATTCTATTTCTGAGGGATTTCAAAAAACCGATTGTTCTGAATCAAGGTTTTATTTCATATGGAGAACGAGTAACTAGTCAGTCATTACTCGTCAACAGCGATCCACTTTACTTCAATCGATCGGACGGGGTTCAACTTTCAGTTCACTGGCTTGATGCTACTTGCACAACCAAACGCCCACATACACACACCCGTTCATACCGACACGCAAATTAAGTCACACCACATCACAAAACTCTTCATCTGTCAGCTGTGTGCATGCTTTCAGATCACGTTTGGTTAAAAGAGTGACAGGTTTGGGGATAGGTGATTACACACGGGGAAGAAAAACTAATCGATATGAAGGCGAAAGGTCATTAACTCGAACCAGATTGGGCACTGGGTTAGGGAATGCGTTGCTGATTCGGGGCTTACGAGCGGAAAGCATTAGAAGGAACGAAGAGATTGTTATTTTAAGACCCAACAAATAAAAAGAAAAATGATCTGGATTTACCATCATGATTAAACGGCCGGTGGTGGCGAGGTGCCAACGTCACCAAATTAACATTCCGATGGACGTGTGTTCCAATCCCACCACCATCTGACTTTCCCTATTGTATGTTGCATGGCAGCTCTTTGATTGGCTGCGTCCCTCCCCCGGAAAATTATATCCTCTATTCAATAAAAATAAGTAAAAATGAAAAAAGTGATTTCGGACACAAGTAGATTTGTTTTTGGCCGCTCTGGACATGACCGAATGGCTACTGTGGAACAATCCATCGCGTGTGAATTACGTCACTTGCATAAGGTTGGCCATATTAGTATTGCCATACTTTCTCAACTCATCCCCCGAGGCTCTCGATTACATAGTATGTATGGGCTCCCCGAAGTTCACAAGGACGGTATTCCACTAAGGTCCATGATTAGAGCACCCAACCAAAAGTTAGCACGATGGTTAGTCAAACTCATTCAACCAATCAAAGAAACGTTTTAGAACTACACTCTGAAGTATTCGTTTAAATTTGTTGTAAGAATCCGTGATCCTAATGTTTCTTGTAAACAAATAGTCTCGTATGATATATTTTCCTATGTAAAAATGCACATTGTCTGTTCATTTGTCGACGAACGCAATATTCCAGCACATAGTCTCCGGAAATTATTGCTTCTCTGTATTAAAGATGTACAGTTCTGTTTTAACGGAGATTATTATCGTCAAGTTTAAGGAGTTGCAATAGGTAGTCCACTTGAACCGGTCCCGGCTGATATCTGCATGGGAAAATAGAAAACTGCGACAACACCTAAAAGACACAGTTATACGGCCGTTATGTGGATGCCACATTTGTCATACTGAATGACGGCGCACAAGCACAAGTAATGCTTAGAAAACTCAACCGTTCCCACCCGAATATTGAATTCACGGTGGAGCACGAATCCTGAATCTTCAATCCACTTCCTGTATGCCCAATTGACGAAAAAAGAGGATGGATCTCTCTTCAGATCCGTATTTTACAAGCCGACATGAAGGGGACAGTACCTTAATTTTAGAAGTTTCTGTTCAATAGAATACAAATGATCGTTGGTGCACAGTTTATTCTCTAGAGCCAGGATAATCTGCTACAGTGAAGCATTAGAGTTCGATTTTCGTTTCATATCCACGGCACCGCACGAAAATGGATACCTCAAAAAGTGTAGTTCAAAGTATGGAGCTCCGTTGAAAAAACTAGAAAAAAGTGACACCGCCTCAAAAAGCTGTTCAGTCACCATACCGTTTCAAGGTGATCAGAACGATAGGCAGATACAGTGCAGGTTCAAATCAGAGATTGAAAGAACGTATAATGCTGCACATCTAGCTCTGACACAGATGTTCACACACGTGGCCGCTTAAATAGTGCGCTCCCAGTTTAGTCGGAATTTCTATGCGAAATATCGCCATACATCGTGGAATCTACGTACATTCGATCCAATTCTGCAAACTCTATTTTGTGATACCGTTCTCTCGGAAGCAAATCGCTCATATCAATCGATTGAGCCGTTTTTCTGTTTTCATCAAAGTTTTAGAATATACTCACGCGCGCAAAATTATGCAGACCTATTCGCCCTGTCAATATTGTGATACCGCTCGAAAAGAAATTTAACAGTTTTTCCAACCAGTCCTACCTGAGCTTTTTAAGTATAACTACAAGCATTCTACGGATGTATTTGTGCTGTTCAGTGCAGCCATTGTTACCACCACATTCACACTTGTGTTTGTTCCACTTCGGCCAGCTAAGCCTTTAGATACTCCCATGACCTTTGCCATTGTTCTGTGATCCCCGCTGACGGAGACAACCAGCCTCCCTTTTACATGACCTTTTCATACATCGTCATCCTCACCGTTGGATAAAGTGCAAAAATGGGACGTCGCATAGTGTCAACAAGAGATGCAGCAGGTGTTTTGTCGGTATTGGGAGAATGTGGCCTACGGAGTTGTAGGAAATACGTTCAAGCAGGGATTAATATGAATACACTGCCTGATATACGTCCACCCTTCGTGTTCCAGACTCTCCATGAAACAGGTAAAACAGTTAGCCACTCAGCCAGAATATATGTGGTTCTGTACAGGATGTGCGGAAATCCCGATTGTGAAATGCATCACATGTTTCACACAAGTACGAGAAACTGTCAGCCACTAAAGAAAGAGCAGATTTAAAATTCGCTACACTACTTGAGTTCACAGATCAC